GAGGCAGGGATGCATTCTCTCACCATACCTATTCAATATATACTGAGAAAATATATTGAGAAATGTCAAAAATGACCAGACTTGTGACAGTTATGATCCGCTCGAAATTGGTGGCAACCCTATTCCGGAAATCCGCTACGCAGATGACACAGTCCTCCTTTCGTTTTGGCTTACATTGTTGACGGCGTAGTTAATTGAATAAAGGGATGACTGAATAAATTAACACACGATTGACTGAATACGACATTAAGGTACACCATTGCTCTCGGACTTACCACGTTTCATGCTTCTTCTTCCAAAACTAACAAAGAGTTTCCATGTTGATGGTGGTTGACTGTCCGGCTGTCTTTTCCATGATGAGCTACGATGGTTCAGTTTCTTTGACCACAGTCAGTTTACTCAGTAATGATAGGTATGTGTGTTCAGTAAGAGTAATGATAGGTGTGTGTGTTCAGTAAGTCACAACTAGTTTTTTATCATTTTGTCAGTGTGTTCAGTCCGTCATGCCTCGATTTATATCTTTTGTCAGTGTTAAATTCGCCATACCCCGATTTCAATCATTTTGAGAGTGTGTTCAGTCGGTCATAGCTCGATTTATATCATTTTGTGGGTGTGTTCATTTCATCATACCTTGACTCATATAATTTTGTGAGCGTATTCAGTCCGTCATACCTCGATTTCTGTAATGTCATGATTGTGTTCTGTCCGTCATACTTCAATTTCTATGATTTTGTGAATGTGTTCAGTCCGTCATACCTCGATTTTTATAATTTTGAAAGTGTTTTTAGTCCGCCATACTTCGATTTCTATCATTTCGTCAGTGTCTTCAGTCTGCCATATTTCAAATTCTATCTTTGTGTGTGTGTGTATGTTCATTCCGTCATACCTCGATTTATATCATTTCGTAAATGTGTTAAGTTAGTCATATCTAGATTTCTATAATTGTGTGAGTGAATTCAGTTCACCATCCTATTGTAAATGTTTCCCGTCCGTCATACCTCGATTTCAATTATTTTGTGAGCGTGTTCAGTCCGTTATACATCGATTTCTATAATTTTGTCAGAGTGTTCAGCCCGTCATATCTTGATTTGTATCATTGTGTGTGTGTGTGTGTGTGTATGTGTGTTCAGTCCGCACTTCCCCGATTTATATCATTTTGTGAGTGTGTTTAGTACGTCATACCTCTCTCTCTCTCTCTCTCTCTCTCTCTCTCTCTCTCTATATATATATATATATATATATATATATATATATATATATATATAATATATATATATATATATACATCATTGTATTGAGTGTGCTCAATCAGTCATAGCTCGATTTCGGACTGTGTAAGTCAGGTATATCTCGATTTCTATCATTTTGTCAGTGTGTTCAGTCCGTCATAGCTTGACTTCTATAATTTTGTGAGTGTATTTATTTCTCGATTTATACCTCGATTTCTGTCATGTTATGAGTGTGTTCAGTTTGTCATACCTCAGTTCATATCATCGTGTGACAAATGAGATCTTTTCGAGGACTGTTGTCTGCGTTAATTTATTAGCCTTCTCCTCCCTCTACTCTTGCTCTTTCTCCACACCAATTATGATATCTATAATTGTTTAATGGCCTACAAAATATGTGAAAATGCATGTCCTTCTCAGTGTGTTGTATAATGGACAATAAAGCCGAGAAAAGCATGATTCTGTTAAAAAGTCACAATATGAAAATACCTAAGCAGATAAAAGGGGAATCATGCTAGAAGTTAAAACCTTTAAATATCGTGGCGCCCACATATGTAAGAGTGGCAGACGCAACAAGGAGATCAAGACTTGATATGGCAGCAGCTAAGATGTCGCAGCTGAATGCGATGTTGAAGAGCAAAATCAGAATCGCAGTTAAAGTCAGTCTTTACAAATCACTGGTATTGTCTATTTTCTTAAACGGATGTAAGAGTTTGACTCTCACTGCGGAATTGGAAAGAAGGAGTCAAGCTTACAAATGTAAATGTCACAAACGCATTTTACAGATTAGTAATGTGGAACACAAAACTAATAAATATGTCAGAGACCTAATAAAAACATGTGCAGGTGATTAGAGCCTCTCTTTGCAGTGGTAAAAGGTCGAATGGTAGCTTGTTTTGGTTAGATTTTGAGACTTCATTCGATTAGCAAAGACTGCACTTGAAGGACATTATAGAGGGTGGGTTGGGGGGGGGGGGGGTGGGGCTTGGGAGGGAAGTTAGTCGAAGAAGAGGAGGACAGAGAATAAACTAGAACGGCATCAAAAAATGGACAGGACTCGGTTATTATACACTTATTAATCAAGCGGAAAACAGAGAAAGATGTCGGGTTTATGGGCTAGTTGCTGCCATCAATTCATCTCAACGACTCTAATAGGTCAATTGTTATGTTATAAGGCAATAAAAGGGATAAGGTTATAGTTTAGTGTGTTTTTAACGCCGTCTCGTTTATAGACTAAAGATAATAATGGTACTGTCTGATGACTATTTACTGTC